CTACCATTACTACAACAATCCTTTCATATTTTCCGCAAATGGACTTCATATTTTCTAAGTTTTATTTACCAAACCACATTATTAAATAATTAATAATGTTCACATTTTATATTCATCAAAGGCAACTGTAGCTTTTTTAGCAGTATGAGATTCAGAATACTGCCAAACTTCCTTGTAAAAAGCAAAGGCATTTAGTACCTTAGTCCTAAATATGGCAGCCCTAACAAGGGTAAAGATGTGTTCTTCTATGCTTTTCCGAATTATGGACAATGAGTCTTAAGGACCCACATTCTCTATCTGGATCTCCCACCCCCCATCTCCTGGGCTCAGAACTACTGGTCTATGCAACACAGCCAGCCACGTTCAGCAAAAAAATAACAAAAAGTAAGTCTCTACAACAAAACCTGCTATAAAGAACACGCTTAAGACTCCAAAAGCCAAAGTGAGACAGGAGCCAACATCTTTTGTAAGACTGAATGCTGTTAAAGAATATTCAAGACTCAGATACATAAAACTATCAGAATCCCAGGAGCACTAGAAAATGTTCTACAGAAACAAGTTTCCATTTTATAATGTAAAGGGAGAGAGACAACCTGACACAGAGACATTCTACTTCAAAAAAATTTTCAGGAAGATATCTATTTCACAAATTAAACACTCACTGACTGAATGCAATAACTAATTTAACTGTCATTAATTATGTGATACTTCCTTCTCTCCCTTCCACAACTCTTTTAACAAAAGATTTTGTCCAAATCACACAAAATGCAAATTGTACGCAGTATTAAAGAAAAAGCCTACCATTATGGTCCTTGAAAATAACTATAAATATTTTAGTTAATAATTATTTGTTACAGAGATAAATTATATTCTCTCCCTTCCACAACTCTTTTAACAAAAGATTTTGTCCAAATCACACAAAATGCAAATTGTACGCAGTATTAAAGAAAAAGCCTACCATTGTGGTCCTTGAAAATAACTATAAATATTTTAGTTAATAATTATTTGTTACAGAGATAAATTATAATTTTGCTGTTATGTGTTTAAGGTTTTTATAGTAATCTTCATTTGTGTTTTTGATATTCACTGTATTGTTGTTTGAATAAGAAGTGTTATAATTTTTTAATGTTGAAATCATGTG